CCTAAATGCACTGAGTTGCCGCCATGTGATTGGCTGATTAGAAATTAAGTGTTAACAAGCAGTTGGACAGGTGTACCTAATAAAGTGGCCGGTGAGTGTAGATTTGAATTTTTATTTATTTAATTTTTTGTGAATTTTGAAAAGCTCGATAAAAATTCACTCTACAACTGGATGGAAACACGATTACTTAAGTGAATTATCTAAATCTGAGCCTGGTTTTCCTGGAGGCAGGTTCCAAGCTCACTGAGAGCCACTAAATAGAATATGTAAATTCTGTACCATAAAGAATGGACCACATGCATGTGTAGTTGGTGTTAGTAGACTAATTCTCAAGGTAGACTGTTTTGTTACAAAATGATGTTCAGTGTATAAAAACAAACAAAACAAAACAAAAAAGCACGAAAATGGTGAATGCCTTCTCCAATTCCAAAGAACACTTTGCAAACCCATGCCCTACTGGTGAGGCTAGTCCGGTGTTCCATGGGAGAGACGAGACAAACATTGATCCTCCTGAGTTCGTTGTTCAACCATTGACTGGACTCGCTTCTCCTTCACCCCTAAACACATCTCACTAGGGAAGCTAATCTGATGTCAACAGTCCAAACCTATCCGCTCACGTCAAGGGGTCAGGGAAGCTACCCTCTTATCCATCGAGTGAAACTCCAATGCACAGACACCAAACCAGTGGGGATATAAGTAGACCCACACCAGCCTGGTACCTCTCCCCATGGGCAATCCCAGAGTGGAGGTTGGTACAAGAAGGAGGTGAGGCATTATTGGGACGAGTGCCCATCCAGGGTTACTGAGTGCTAAAAATAGCTAATGGTGAAGCTCTGGGGCTCGTAGACCCCACTGCTGGTGGAATAGTCAGTTGTTTCTCTCTGACAGCTGCAGGACCCACGCTCCCAGGAAAAATGTATGCCTCACAGCCTCCATGTACCAGAAGGTGATCAGGTCTGCGCCAGTCCATAACAAATCTGAATGTGGTCAAGTTCAAGTTTATTTGCCATTTGCAGTCAACAAACTTTGTTGGAAAGACAGTGGCAAGAGCTCACATCCTCAACATACTCACATAACAAATTAAAAACACTGAACCCAGAACCCCTCATCTGCAACAAACTATACATTTACAGAACACATTCCAAGTGACATTTCTGTGAGAAAGTTAATGTGCGTTATTCAAACCCCTCAGAGCCCGTGGAAAAAACTATTTAAATGACGAGACGTAGTACATTTCATAGAATGGTACTGTCTCCTCGAGGGAAGAATCTCAAACATATCCTTAGCAGGATGAGTTGGATCATTAATAATAGAAAAAGACTTAGAAAAAAGTCTACTTTTAAAAATATCCTCTAAGGCTGGCAGCTCACAACCTATTGTTTTACAAGCAGAGCGTACTACTCTGTTTAAACCTTTCCTTTCTTTGCTGGTGAGATTTCCAGACCACACTGTGGTTTGGAAATAAGAAACAAGCTGATGAAAAGACTTTCAATTACACAATGATAAAAATGTAAAAGAATATGTCTGTTTAGAGTGAACTCCTTAAGTTTGCGTAAAAAGAGTCTCTGTCTAGCCTTTTTGACAATAATATTGGTGTTTAGATGCCATCTCAAATCTTTTGAAAGGGTCACTCCTAAAAACGTAATGCTGTACCTCTGTACCTCTGTGCCATTTATAATAACAGGCAGAGGAACATTCTTTTTGCCAAAGTCCGCTATCAGTTCATATGTTTTAGAAGTATTCAGCACCAAATTGTTTTGTTCACTCCACTGCACATGTTCTACCTCAGATTGATAGTAAGAGTCGTCATCAGAATTAACCAAACCTATAATAGAAGTATCATCTGCATATTTGATTATCATATTATTGGGATGAACAGCAACACAATCATAAGTGTACAAGGTAAAAAGTAAAGGACTTAAAATTGGTCATGGTCCTTTCAGCCTACTAAGCAGAGCTCTTTCAAGGTATGAGGGTTCTTTTTGATAAGGACACCCTGAGTCCCGTAATTTGGGAGGAAATCTGTGTGGTAACAGAGCTCATCCTCCTGGTGTCCAGAGGCACGGTGCAGGGCTGTGGTCGAGTTATGGGCTTACCAATGGCTGGAGAGAGAGCTCTCAAGCTGAACCTGCCCAGTAACAGACTCAGCCAATCAGAAGGCTAGGTTGTGATGTCGTTGCAGGGCAGAGCAGCTGCACCACACCTGACTTTCAACATGAGGAGAAAAAGAAGTTCAGTTCAAGCTGCTGTTTGAAAACTATGAGGTCTATTGAAATAATTCTTTAACCTTGAGTGACTGAAGAGATTGGCTTTTACTCAAGGAATTTTAGCCTCTCACTGTCAGGGTACAGCAGTGCCTCTCTCTATGAGGATACAGCAGTGCCTCTCTGTCAGGGTACAGCAGTGCCTCTGTCAGGGTACAGCAGGTCCTCTCTCTGTCAGGGTACAGCAGGTCCTCTCTGTCAGGGTACAGCAGGTCCTCTCTCTGTCAGGGTACAGCAGGTCCTCTCTGTCAGGGTACAGCAGGTCCTCTCTCTGTCAGGGTACAGCAGGTCCTCTCTCTGTCAGGGTACAGCACGTCCTCTGTC